CAAAGAATACTGGTTATCTCTTTTTTTTTGGTCCGGTCGTGGGGCCTGAACTCTGGGCCTGGGCGCTGTCCCTCAGCTCTTCAGCTCAAGGCTAGCGCTCTACCACTTGAGCCACAGCGCCACTTCCGGCTTTTTTCTTTTTGCTTATGTGGTGCTGAGGAATCGAACCCAGGGCCTCAGGCATGCAAGGCAAGTGCTATACCTCTGAGCCACCTTCCCAGCCCCATGGTTATCTCTTAACACTAGACTCTCCTCACACTCCTGCACCTGACTCCCAACAAGGAGTCACAACAAGTGAGATACAATGATGTTCCCGTTTGTGAGAACAATAGATCTTATACAAGAACTTCCTGTTTTATTGATTATGAATGAATTCTTTTGCTTACTCATCTAGGTATGCAGAATTCTGCAAGGTGAATACAGGGATTAAACAAATTTAGTAGGATATTTAACTTAGGGTAAGTTCAACTATGCTAGCTTATTCTCTTGAAATTGTACTCCCAACCAAAAAAAAAAAAAAAAAAAAGATTTTTTTTTTTTTTTTTCCAGTTATGGGGCTTGAACTCTGGACCTGATGCTGAGTCTGAGCTCTTCAACTCCAGGTAAGTACTCTATTCCTTGAGCCATTTCCAGTTTTCTGGTGGTTAACTGGAAATAAAAGAGTCTCATGGACTTTTCTGCCCTGGCTGGCTTTGAACCATGATCCTCAGATCTCAGCCTCCAGAGTAGCTTAGGATTACAGGCATGAGTCACCAATGACCAGCAGAAAAAGAATTTTTAAGAAGTAAAACACACAAAAATAAATGGGAAAATGGGAAGGCACATAGCAACATGCCAAAATTCAAAATATGGAAAATAGAAGGGAGAACACCAGTGAATGACAGAAGAGGAGAAACTACACTACAGTGCCTGAAGGAAGATAATTTGAGAATATAGTTGTGCAAACTCAGAAAAGCTCAGAAAATGGAGGTCCAAGGCATAAAAACTTAGGGGGAGGCGCTGGGAAGGTGGCTCAGTGGTAGAGCACTTGCCTTGCATGCTCGAGGCCCTGGGTTCGATTCCTCAGCATCACATAAGCAAAAAGAAAAAAGCCGGAAGTGGCGCTGTGGCTCAAGTGGTAGAGCGTTAGCCTTGAGCTGAAGAGCTGAGGGACAGCGCCCAGGCATAGAGTTCAGGCCCCACGACTGGACCCCCCAAAAAAAAAAAAACTTAGGGGGAAAGTCTCCTAGGTCCTTTCCTATCCTATGTTGTCATATGACTAACCTCTTCAAAGCAAGATATATTCTAGAAAGACCAAACTTGGTAAGCTCTAAACTTGGGGATACAGGCACAATTGGGTTAGTGATGAAATTGAACTGAAAACAGCATAGAAAAAGTACAACTGGGATATACCTGGACCATTTCCTGCCCTCCTTCCAAAGAACAAGCAGCCAGATTTATAAGTGCTCTCTGGGCACCAGATTGGTAAATTTCTTCTCTAAAGAAACCAAATACTTGCTGTTTTCTTTTTCTGGAATTTCAAATTTACTGAGTTGGGCTCAGGAACTTTTTCAGGTTTACTGAAGTCAAATTTACATAACAGAAAATTCTTTATCTTAAGCATATAGTTTAAATTTTGTTTTTTGTGTACAGTTGAGTTACAACCGCCACAGAAAAGTTCTCTGATCTTTAAGTTTGCTCATGTCCTTTGTAGATGATTCCTTCACCTGACCACCAGCCCAGACAATGTCTGATGTACCTTCAGTCAGTATGATTTTGCCTTAAAAAAAAATTTTTTTTATGGCTGGGAAGGTGGCTCAGTGGTAGAGTGCTTGCCTTGCATGCATGAGGCGTTGGGTTCGATTCCTCAGCACCACATAAGCAGAAAAAGCCCAAGTAGGGAGGGTGGTGGCTCAAGTGGCAGAGTGCTAGCCTTGAGCTGAAGAGCTCAGGGACAGCGCCTAGGCCCAGAGTTCAGGCCCCATGACCAACAACAACAACAAAAAAAGGATTTCATGTAAATAAACTTAAGTATATAGTTTTTCCAGTTGGCTTTTTTCACTGAGCATAATAATTCATCATATTGTCATATATATTAATATTCCATTTTGTCATTTTGAGAGTATCATATATATGGAATCAGATAGTATGTGACATTTAGATTGCTTTTTCCATTCAATATAATACTCTTGACATCTGCTCAAGTTGTTGCATATATCAACAGGTCATTTTTCTTCCTACTGTTTTAATGTGAATAGTTTTCCGTTGTCAAATTTATAGGTTAGCCATTTACCTATTTTAGAACCTCCTCTCTTTGGCTATTAAAAATAAAGCTGCTTTGAACAATACATCATATAGTTAGATCATGATATATTTAGACTAGTTACATTTAATGTAATTATTGGTATACTAGTGCTTGGACCAGACATTTTATTTTTTACCTTCTCTTTGTTCTGTTTTATTTGCCTTCTGTGGACTACTTCAACTTTGATTCATCTATAGTATATCTCTTTACATAGCTGACATACAAGTGTTTGGGCCAGCCATTTTATTTTGTGAGTATATCTTTTTACATAGCTTTCTAAGTAGTTGCTGGTAGATGTTATTTAAAATGTCTGGTAGTCTGATAAAGTACAGGCTTTATCAGTTTCAGCCAAGTGTAGGAACTTTAGTTCCCTTTATGCTTCCCATTTATGATCATCTTAACTTTTACAATCATCTTAACTATTTCTGCTTCAAATGCTAAACTTAATTAGAAAACACGGGGGGGGGGGGGGGGGGGAGGAAAGTCTGCCATATTTACTCATGTCTTTTCCTTCCTGATATTCCCAAATTCCTTTTATCATTTAGTTTCTGTTTGAAGAAACTATATTATAAATGAGGAAGAGTTCTGTAGGAAATGTGGAGTCACTAAAGTTTTTGCAAAAAGGAGTAACACCTTTGTGTCTAGCTTTCACAAGGTATTAGCAGTCCTAGTTAGGAAGTTCTAGATGGGCTTAAGTCAGAGCATGAACAACACTTAAGGCCACGCAAATTTCCAGGGGTGGGTGTGGTGGCGGCAGCTCAAGTCTGAAATCTAAGCTAAGTGAAAAGTTGTAAATTGGTGGATTTAGATTTGAGGTCACCTCTGGACAAAAAAACATAAAACCCTACCCCCCCCCCCAAAAAAAATAAAACATAAAAGGGCCTGGGGTATACTCCATGTTAAAGTGGTAGAACATCTGACTAGCAAACATGAGATCTTGAGTTCAAACTTTAGTACTACCATTTTTTTTCCTCAATTCATTGATAGAATGCCTACCCCATTTTAGAGATTGAAATAACTGTTACCTGATAAAATATGACAAAGTACCTGTTCCCAAGAATTTTAAGTCTAAATAGGAAGCAACAGACACACAGATAAATATGCTCTGCTAGTGTTACAGATGCTACCAAGGAACTGTATATGTGACACACATTAGGAACACAAATGAGAGGGCCAGGAAAACATTCAAAAAATTACTTAAGAGCCATACAATATATAGTGCTCAGAATAGTTGAGGCACATAGTAAGCAGTCAATACCTGTTAGAAGTTACTGTTAGTGGTGGTGATATGCGTAGGCAGGAAATAGGACAATAAACAAAATAAGTGCTTTCATGAAGGACTCACATGCTTTCAGCTATCTAGAAGAGAAAAGAGATGCTTACTCCCCCCTCCTCTGGCTTTAGCTAAGCTTTGTTTCAGAGACAATGCTCTACAAATTTCTCCTTCATGTATTTGTGGAAAGGAGTATGAGTAAAGCTAATGTTCAAACAAAACAATATATTATTAGCTGCAAAGCATTTAAAAATACATACATGCTCAACCAACCGTGTTACTGGTGTTTCCAAGGGCTGCTTGCGTAGATGAACTGAAATTACTCAATAACTCTTTTAACAAGTGATCTAGAGCAGTAAAAAACATAGTACCCTGTTCCTGTGTGTATATGGTATGAAAGGGGGATTAAAAAGTAATTCTAATTTAGGGTAAAAAAATGTTCTACAACTGTAGTAATTATGGAACTCGGTGAATACACTAAAAGCTATTGAAGTATACATTTTAAGTAAATTAGCTGTGTTGTTGTTCAATAAAGTTATTTAAAAAGGCAAGTGATCAACAGAATAAAAAGAAAGCAAACTACATGCTAACTTGATCTCTTCAGAAGATCTAGGTCCAATTTTGAGTCCATAAAATATTTCTACCTTTCCAGTACTTGGGGCCAATAGATTTCAAAGAGTCTCACTATTATGTCTGACATACTAGAACCTATCTCTAGAGTTATGGTACAAATAAGACAGTTTGGAAATGTCAATCCTCCTTTTGTTTTTAGGCCAATTTAAGCTTCACTGTGAAAGTTGAGTGCCCTGTAATTCTCAAGTCCAATCCTGACCAAGGTCCCACCAAGGTGGGTCTAACTGTTCTGCCTAGGATGATGAAAAGGAGCCTAGAGTATTCATGTCCCCCCTACACTCATTAGGTTTGACTGGATTACATACACAGGCATCTGTCTGGCCTCTTGATTAGCCTCAATTAGTTCACAAAGAATTGAGCTGGTCAGTGTTAATCCCATAACCCAGCATACAGGGTCCCTGATTATTTTTTTAGGATTAGGCTCTACTTCTAAGCCACATGGTAGAGCCCTCCCAACTGAGCAGACCATGTGCAAGAGACCATACTATTTCCTAGAGAATTTTGCTGTTCTGCCTTGGAGACCAAGTTTGCTCTTCTGCCTTGGAGACCAAGTTGCTCTTCACAGGAAATGGTAATTTAGAATGGGGACTATTGTACTTGGAGGCTATAGCCCAGTAGTAGATTAGCAGTCCTAGTTTCAGAACATCTAGCTTTTCTTCTCCGTTCCCAAGAGTCTACTGCTAAGTTTCCATTATGCCCTATGGCTAAAAAACTTGAGTTATGACAGGAAGGTCCTGGCATAACACTGCAATGAGCAATAAATGCTATTTTCTTTTTCAAATCAGGTCATTTTAAACTAGCTTTACTTACCTGGTGTACACAGTCTAAGAATTGCAAGAAGACTGGAGCAAAACCACTGCCCTGACAATTGAGGGTCAAGCTGCTCCGCTGACTGAATTTATGACCAAAAGACAACCATTCTTTTTCCACCAACATCCGAAAGCCTTCAAGTGTTCTATAAAATGGGTCACTGAGTAACTGCACCAATGATGTCACCTTGAGCCCAAGCAGAGAGATACTCATTAATTTCAGTACTGAAAAAATTCTATTGCTAAAATAAAAACATTTCCTTTTGATGACAGCTTATAAGCAAAATTACCTGGAAAGCAAATTTATTCCTAAATGCTCCTGTATAACAACTTGAATAAAGTCTATAAACTTTTTAAATAAACACTAAAACTCAAACTCATTTTGGCTACATGTTTTCTTTCATAAAATTATGACTTTGATTTTTTTTTTAATTAATTTTTTGGTCGGTCGTGGGGCTTGAACTCTGGGCTTGGGCGCTATCCCTCAGCTCTTCAGCTCAAGGCAAGCGTTCTACCACTTGAGCCACAGTGCCACTTCCTGTTTTCTAGGTGGTTTATTGGAGATTAGAGTCACAGACTTTCCTGCCTGGGCTGGGTTTGAACCTGATCCTCAGATCTCAGCCTCCTGAGTAACTAGTATTACAGATGTGAGCCACCAGTGCCCGGCTTGACTTTAATCTTTAACTGTCCTTTTTTCTAGGTTAATTGATCAGATTGGGGAATTAGCTCATTTTTATTTTACTTTTTGGTAGGTGTAGGTTATTAGTGTTCTTTATACTTTTCCTTTTCATTCTGGAATAAAAATGAAGGGCTTAGAGAAGCCAGAAAAAGGACAGACAAACCTAAGGAAGGACAGTCCACACCCCACACTGCTTGTCAAAAGCTCCATCTGCAAGTTTGCATGGTACATCTGTGTTATGGAGCCTGATAGCCAGAGCTTCATCTATGTAAGGGCCCGCAGCTCATAGAACCTCCTGATGGACTGCCAGGTGGTTTTTAACAGGAACTTTCTCTACCCACAACTATACTAGTCATTACAAAAAGATTTATCCCTAGAATTTATAGCCTAACTTGAAATCTGAAAATACATATGTAACAATTTACTTGTGTAGTGATGTCCCAGCCTTCTTCCAAACAGACCAAAACTGAGGAACCATTCTCAAGTACTTCGGATATGACCACAGCCAGCTGCATTATCCTGTGAAGCTAAGAGACAGGAGGCTAAATTAGATACATCAGAGGACAGACTTGCTGTCAACAATCGATAACAAACAAGATAGGAATAAAACAGTTGGAATAAAGAACCATGTAATGTTTTAGATACTTAAGTTCTTGTTAAATCAAGATTAAACGAGGACACCTTTTACAACAATGTGTTTAATGTGTAATAAAATGAAATAACCATACACAATTTCTTCAAAAGTAGAAGACCTAGCCAGGCGCTGGTGGCTCACGCCTGTAATCCTAGCTACTCAGGAGGCTGAGATCTGAGGATCATGGTTCAAATCCAGCCTGGGCAAGGAAAGTCCGTGAGACTCTTATCTCCAATAAACCACTAGAAAACTGGAAGTGGCGCTATGGCTCAAGCAGTAGAGCACTCGCCTTGAGCTGAACAGCTGAGGGATAGCGCCCAAGCCCAGAGTTCAAGCCCCACGACCAACCCCCCCCCCCCGCCCCCAAAAAAGTAGAAAACCTGTAATTCTATAAAATGGAAAAGACAGAGTCTAAGTGGCCTTGAAAATTCAACATAGTTATTGAACTTAAAGTTTTGTTTTTTCCTGTGATGTAGTAAGTTCTCTTTAAAATTCAATTTTTCTGGTATTAGTGTGATGATCGCATATACTAAAAAAACCCACTGCTTTATATATTTTAAAATAATGGATTTATGCCAAGTGTGGTGGTACACACCTGTATTTACAGCACTGGGGAGGCTGAGCAGGCCTGTAAGTTTGATACCAGTTTGGAAAAAATATTTAGAAAAAAACAGATTAATTTTATAATGTGAATTGTGTGAATTACATATTAAAATAAAAGACTTGTATTTTATTGCCTAGGAGGAAAATGTATATTTGTGCTTAGCTTTTTAAGCCAAGATAACTGATTCAAAATCTTTAATAATTAGGGTGTAGGTATAGGGTATAGATTTTAAAACCAAATCTGAACTAAAAACCCCAAAACAAACCAATCCCCCATACCTCACATAAGCAGAGATGGATTATTTTAAGCTCATCCTTCCTAGAAATGGGAGGTTCTGCACTTGCCACTCCTACAAGGCCAGTCCTAAGCCTGGATCCTCTGAGGATTAGCATTTGCTCTAATAGTTTACTTTTAAAATGCTAGTAACCCAAAGGGGACAATATTTAACTGTGCTAAGTTTCTACCATTTGGTATAGGTTCACTTTCTAACAAAGAGCAGAGTGTAGACTGTATCAACAGACAGGTGGTTGGTTGGTAAGGCTAGTTGGGGGTGTTAGCTCTTTTCATGGGTATTCTTTTTTTTTTCCATGGTATTCTTAATAACCTAAACTGCTTTAAGAATAATGAACACTTCTGAGATATACTTGTAACCAGTTGCATATATGGCTCTTTATTAAGAACCTTAAGAACAGTCACTGCCCTAGGTACTGATATTATCTCTTGGCTTCTTTGACTTTTAGTTTTGCATACTATGTTAACAATTTTTTTTTCCTCTTTAAGAAAGAGATGCTTGGAGGTAGATGCAGGCATTGGACCGAAAAAGTAGAAATTCTTACAGGGTGAGAAGGAATAATGGATTCAGGATCAAGGGCCTATAGACAAAGTTGAAGGTTATATTAGAGATACTGCTCTTGGCCAAATGTCTGGATTAGTGTCTAAAACACATATATCATAAATATCTTTTCATGGTTTGGAAGAAATGTGGGCATATTTGTGTTGGCAAACCTTTTTCTACTTAATTTCTCAATAAAAATTCAATAAAAAATCAGGGTGCTGTTGGTTCACGTTTGTAATCCTAGCTACTCAGGAGGCTAAAACCTGAGAATCAGGGTTCCAAGCCAGCCTAGGCAGGAAAAGTCTGTGAGACTCTTCAATTAACCACCAGAAAACTAACAGTGGTACTGTGGCTCAAAATGGTAGAGTACTAACTTTAAGCAAAAAAGCTCAGGGACAGTGCCCAGGCACTGAGTTCAAGCCCCATGACTGACCAAAGGCAAAAAAAAATAATAAAAATATCTTAAGGATAACTTAGCTGAATGATGATCTCTCCTCACACACATATATGTTTTGCAAACTTCTGGTGGATTTGGGGCATCCAGTGTACCTTTGGTGACAAATATAAAATCCAGAGATGCAGAATAGGCAGACAGATGAAGGATAGAAAGTGAGAAAGTAGAAAAGAGTTGGATCTTTAGTGTGATGGTTGCATATACTAAAAAACCACTGTTATGTATTTTAAAATGATGGATTTATGTCTTGGTAACAGAGCAGAAGCCCCATAAATACCAGCTGATGAAATTTACTACACATAAAAAATTCCAAAAAAAATTGTTTTCTTCTCTTTAGTATCTTAAGTACAAACTTTCAATTATTAGAGATAAAAACCAAATGACCAATAATTTGTCCTCCTTATTTCCTTTGTCCTACTGTTTCCTAAAACCAAAAGAAAGGTCTTTATAGGGGACACATAATAAAGGAGAGCATAGAGTAAAGGAGTGTTGAGTATTTTTTTTTTTTTGCCAGTCCTGGGGCTTGTGAACTCAGGGCCTGGGTATTGTTCCTGAGTTTCTTTTACTCAAGGTTAGCACTCTACCATTTGAGCCACAGCACCACTTCTGGCTTTTTCTATGTATGTGGTACTGAGGAATTGAACCCAGGACTTCATGCATGCTAAGCAAGTAGTCTATCACGGTGCCATTTTCTCAGCTCGAGTATTGGTTTTGTATATTGGCCTAAGGCTCTCTTTGAATTTTAAGACAAACTCCCAGATGTTACCTGTGGGAACCACTCCGAGTCTCCCAGGGCCTTCAGGAATGTCACTTCTGAGTCAGTAGGGATGGTGCTTGGGATACAAGCCCTCATCAGCTTTTTAAAACTGGCTTTTATTTGCCGGATTTCATGAAATTCAACAGGAACAAACTCACAGTTTAAAGCAAATTCTACCTTGAAACTCTGTGGATGAAGATGAAGAGAATTAAACAGGCACAAAAAAGAGCAAAATTTTCATAGTTAGTTGAAGCCATTTAGCTGCAGAGGCTATAACAGGTCAAAACCATCAATCTTGTGCAAGTCATATGTCAGTAGTGTTGGGATGTCTAGTGGTTTGTTAGAATGGTTAAGTCTAGTAACTGCTAGGGATAGATTAATTAGCTTAGGAATGCTACCATTCTAAGAGCTATTATTGAGTCTAGAACTAGATGCAGTTTATAACATCAAATATAAGCCAATGACAAATGGACAGTATGGTAAATTCAATAGTCTAATATCAGTTTTCCCAAGCTGTGCTTTGTAACTCTTTTGCTCAAGATTAGCTCTTCACCACTTCAGGAGCTGGCTTTTTGGGTAGTTAACTGGAGAGAAGAGTCTCATGGACTTTGCTGCCTGGATTGGCTTCCAACTATGGTCCTCAGATCTCAGCCTCCTGAGTAGCTACAAATATAGGCAGGAGCCAACAGTGCCCAGCTATTTGCTTCCTATTATGAAAGTAAAACATTCATTGTAAAAGTGAAAAATAGTGATTCTTATTTCTCAAATCTTATTTTACTGTCCCAAGACTATTAGTAATATATATAATGTGCAAGAGTGTTGCTTCATGGCTTTGAGAAGTTCTTTTCTGCTCAGTATGAAATGTCTTTTACTTGTGTTTATCTGTAGTCCATACGGAATATCTGCTGTTGCATTTATAATTAAAGAATGCTTTAATGGCCCAGTGGTATACTTTAATTTTGATGTTTGCCTGGTTCTGAAAATTGAAAGTCCTCTAACTTCTCAGGCCAAAGAATGAATTACCTCAGATTCATCCCACATTCTTCACATCCTACTCAATCTATTCTAGTGGATCATTTGCCTTTCAAAGAACAAAACTGTTTCCAGGATACTGTAAAATAATGTAAATATACTTAATAATATTAAACTATAATCTTAGAAATTACTACGATGATAAATTTTGTTATGTATTTTTACTATGATTAAGCATGCTGCTAAGGACTTATATACAGTCCATTTAATGTTTTATATTAGTTAACTTTTTTTTTTTAAGGCCTATAAAAACTAAAAAAATTTTTTTTGGTAGTACTAGGGTTTGAACTCAGGGCATCATGCTTGCTAGGCAGATCATCTACCATTTAACCATATCTTTACTTCTTTTTGCCCTGTTTTTTTGGGGAAGGTCTGACATTTATGCCTGGAGCCAGCCTTGGACCTTGGTCCTTCTACCTATGACCTCCTGACAGCTAGGATCATAGGCACATGCTGCTATGCCTGGCTTCACAATCTTCCTGCCTTAGTCTCAGTGCTGAAACTATAGGTATATGCTACCGTAATGGCTCCTAAGTTTTTCTGTGTGTTGTTTTTTAAATAGCATTTTAAATATTTATTAGAAGACAAAAATTTTCTTTGTCTTAATTCCAATTTTACACAGGAATAATGGTGCATGCCTCAAATATAAGTACTTGAGCTGAGGCAGGAACACCATGAGTTTGAGGCCAGCCTGGAGTAAAAGGCTATCTCAAGAAAAAAAGAAAATTAAAAATTAATTAAAAATTAATTTTAGGAAGCTACTCTGTAGAAATAATCTAAAGTATTGGGACCCTTTAGTGAAATCATCTCAACAACAACTAAAAAACCTCCCATTTGCTAAAAAATGTGATTGCAATTTTACATATATTGAAGGTTAAGTAGTGACAAAAAGCATTATACAGACTATTAGACAACATGGAAATAAGATGTGAGGGCTTGTGATGAAAGAACCTAGAAAAAAACTCATGTACAGTGCTATTTTTAAAATAATAGGTAGTTTACTTTTCAGGAAAAACAGATTCCTTTCTAATTTCCAGCTGTCTACTAACAAGATATGTCTTTTATCCTAAAACCTGGGAGTTAGTTGAGATATTCTACTGGGTATAAGAAATTATATTAAGTGAAGTAAGCCAGGCCCAAAGAAACATAGGTCCCATGGTTTCCCTTATTTGCAATAACTAGTAAATGTGTCAGAAAAGGTCAAAAGCTATATACCTCTGACCATATAAGATGATGTTAAGCGGAATGAACCCCAAGATAGGGACACAAATATCTTTTTTTTTTGAGTTTCTTACCTATATTCTTTTTTTTTTTATTGTAAAGATACTATACAGAGGGTTACAGTTACATGAGTGAGGTAATGAGTACACTTCCTATTGAACATTGTTACCCCCCTCCATTGTTTTCCCCCTACCATCCCTTCCCTCCCTACCTTCCCCGAGGTTCTTTTTTTTTTTTTTGACTGTGATTAAGTGATTACATAATTTCCCGAATTTCACAGTATTGTGGAATAATGATGCTCAGTTAAAGTCACAAGTTCATTCTAACTTTCCTGGAGCAAATTGTCTATCACAGTCTATAACATATAACGATGTTCACATGTTATACACCATACATGTGATCAGCAGCATGGGGATATTTAGTAGTGGTTCGACCAGATGAGCAGAAGTTCTTTGTTTCTTAAGTCCTGTTAATTTTGTCGCATCTCCTAACATTTTGGATTTAACATCCACTTATCAGGGAGATCATGTACTGTTTGTCTCTTTGCTCTTGGCTTACCTCGCTCAACATGATTTCTTCTAGCTCCATCCATTTCCCTGCAAATGCCATTACACAAATATCTTTTCTTTCTTGCTATTGTTTCTAACATATTTATAATGTACCATGTGATTTTTTTTGTTTCTTTGTATGTTCCCCCCCATGGTATAACCCGTTTTCACTGTATTTGATGTCGGTGCCCTGCATCTTGTATATATACTTCTCTAATTCGGGGAGGGGAAGGGAAAAAACAAAATGCTTAAATAAGGACACAGTTGACCTATTGTAACAATGAGATGTACAAGACACTATGTTGAAAACGAACTTTACAACTTGCGGGGGAGGGTAGTTGTGGAGGTGGGAGGAAAGGGATGGTAGGGGAAAAACAAAGGAGGAGGCAACAATGCTCAATAGGAAATGTATTCAGTACCTTGCTCATGTAACTGTAACCCCTTTGTACAGTATTTTTACAATAAACACATACAAAAAAAGAAATGTGGTACTATTAAGAATTATGAACTAAAAAAAAAAGAAGGCTAAATTCAAGATGATTTTGAAAATAACTGTCACTTACGGGCCTTTCTTTATGATACCTCTGTTTGAAGATAAAGGCATAGAGTAGCATTAGGACAGTGCTGTGTGAGATAGAAGGTGGCACTTATCAAACAGATGTAGAGCCAGACTTTATAGATACAACTGAAGTAATAAAAAACAAAACCTGGAAGTGGCGCTGTGGCTCAAGCGGTAGGGTGCTCACCTTGAGCTGAAGAGCACATGGACAGCGCCCAGGCCCAGAGTTCAAGCCCCACGACCAACCGAAAAACAAAAACAAAAAACCTGAGTGGAATATATAAAATTGCTAATAACAACTCTTGTGCCAATATGATAGAAAATACAATTTATTGATAAAAAGAAGGAAGGAAGGATTCTAAGTGGTCTATTAGTCTTTTTTTTTCTTGTCAGTGGGGCCTGGATGCTGTCCCTCAGCTCTTCAGCTCAAGGTTAGCACTCTACCATTTGAGCCACAACCCCACTTCCGGATTTTTCTGCTTATGTGGTGCTGAGGAATCGAATCCAGGGCCTCATGCATGCAAGGCAAGCACTCTACCACTGAGGCACCTCCCCAGCCCAAGTCTATCTCTTAATCAAGTAAGTATGAGGACTGATGCAGAAGTAAGAATTAGGGAACTAAATCTTGTAGAGTGTCTCAGATCATATAGTATGCTAAAGGTTGGAAAGCCTATGCTCTGGAAAAGACACTGGTGCCAAAGAAGTTTTGAAGGTAACTTTGGATCACTGTGAAGAGTTCCAAATATTTTCTGGGGATACAATTACCTTCTGTATAAGAAGACATATACGTAGACATAAGAGGTAAACATTACCCAGCAGTTTCGTGCCCTCTACCTACTCTAAAGGCTGGTGAATAAGTGACTGCAGCAGTCTAGGCAGGAGGAAGAGTCAGCAATGGCAACCAGCTAGAGGAGAGATGACTCAAGCAGTGGCATCTCAAGTGCTGAGCATGTAGGAGCATGTAGGCTGAGAGACTCTGCTTAGTGGTTCAGCCAAAGGTCTGTCTACACTGTTCAGTGCTAAACTGTCAGGAGATTTCCGAACAAATACTTTAATTTCCTACACATTTGTTGGTAGTTGTAAAATTTATTTTCTAATGTGTGACTTGGAGAATATTAAATCCACGAAATTACTGTTGCTTTTGGAGGTAGGGACTATCTTTAGTGTTAATGACATGTCAGCATAATGAAGCTCTTTAACATGGTAATAGTAAAAAATTGGTTAGCAGCTAATATTTTGATTTTTTAAAATTGTTCTTGGTTATGGGATTTGAACTCTAAGCCTGGGCACTGTCCCTCCGTTCTGCTACCACTTGAGCCACAGAACCATTTCCGGTTTTCTGGTGGTTAGCTGGAGATAAGAGTCTCACAGACTTTCCTTTCTGGGCTGGCTTTGAACAGCAATCCTCAGATCTCTGCCTCCTGAGTAGCTAGGATTACAGGCGTGAGCCACTGACACCCAGCTAATATTTGAATTTATGACCTATTTTAGGACACATATCTCTTCCTATTTGACCTCTAAAAACTTGTGCCTCAGAATACCTAGTCTTGGCCTCTTTTGCTTCCACATGCAGTGCCTGTCTTCACTCTACATCCTATAGCTTTCTTGCATAGGCACAGATTCCTGTAAAAAGAATGTTAATCGGTACTTCCTGTGGAAAACGGCCTAATAGGAATTATATCTTTTCTTTTTTGTATTTATATTTCTTAATATTTCTGATATTTTAAAGGATTAGTAAATTTTTCATGACTAATGTGCACATGTATTGAAATACAAATAAATATATATAGTGTGTACATATAAATATAGAGCTAAAATTTTATTTAGATTAAGTTCAGAATCACACTATAAAAAAATTTCTGGCAAAGCTGGTCTGGTTTTCTTACCTGTTTTCATGTCTCAAACAATTTCTTTTTTCTTTTTTGTTGGTTGTGGGGCCTGAACTCTGGGCTTGGGTGCTGTCTCTCAGCTCTTCAGCTCAAGGCTAGTGCTCTACCATTTGAGCCATAGCACCACTTCCAGCTTTTTCTGCTTATGTGGTGCTGAGGAATTGAACCCAGGGCCTCATGCATGCAAGACAAGCACTTTACCACTGAGCCACCTTCCCAGCCCCTCTCATACAATTTCTAAGTGAGAGAGAAAAATCTTACCCTTAGTTGTGACTTTTCACCAAATATGTAAAGGGATGCTTGGCGTTTCAAGAGCTGGTTTTGAAGGTAGGTGCTGTTACTAAAGGAGGCTGGGTGATCCTTGCCTGCCAGCCGGGCACCAACATCAACGAAGGATGTTGGAGAGCTGATCAAGCGAGTACTGGAGCGAAGACTTGCCCATACACCTTCACAAAAGTTAAGAAAACAGTGAGATCATCTGTTGTGGGAGTACCACTGAATAAGAAAAATGATGCATGCTCTGGAGTTACAGATTTAGAGGTAATGATTATTTGATCATATTGTCACATAAGCACTTCAAAATAATTTAAGTACAGACTCAGAAGGAGCTAAGAAGTCACTCATATCCCATTTTTATATGTTCATGTAAGTTCTGCACTTGAAAGTAAACACTGAAATCCTAAGTGCAGACTGGAAAAACAGAATGCAAGCAGGAGGCAGCAATAAAGCCTAGACAGGAGAAGACAGAGAAACTCAATTTCTTAGCGCTTGAAAGAAGTAAAGGAATATTCTTCTGCACAGTCAATTCAACAAGAAATCTAGATTAGAAACTTACTAAATCTACTAAAAGTAGAGATAGATTTATAACATTTATCATTTAAGTTTTATACATGTAAAGGGTATAGATTTTTTTAATTTCTATAACATGAGAAATTATAAAATTGCTAATGGTGTGTTTCACTGAATTTCAGGAAGCATTATTTTAAATGTAGTCAGAAGCAGCTGAGCATGGTGGCTCAAGCCTGTAATTGTAGCTACTTGGGAGGTACAGGTTAGGGGATCATGGTTTGAGGCCAGCTTGGGCATAAAAGTTTGGGATTCCATCTCAATCAATGGCTGAAACACAGTGGTACATGCATTTCATGCCATAGGGATTGCAAAATGGCTGGGTGTGATGGCATGAGTCTTTCATTCTAGTTTCACAAGGAAGCACAAATAGGAGAAACATGGTTCAGGCTGATCCAGAAATAAGCCAAGACCCTATCTCAAAAAACAGACAACACAAAAAGGGATGATAGAGTGGCTGGACTGGCAGAGTACCTGCTTAGTAAGTACAAGGCCTTGTGTTTAAATCCCAGAACTTTCAAAAAAAAGAGAGCAGATACCTTCTAAGACAAAGGCCAAGCCAAATAGCTAGAAGTCTCATTATATAAACTGATCTTATTTTTTTGATCAAAGATTTCTCTATTCAAATGAGTTTATTAAATACTAAACACCCAAACACAAGCCACATACTAATCCTCTAATTGGACTAGCACTGCAGCAATTTCAAAAAAACAGAGCTCCTTCATAAACTCTATGCCTGCAGACCATAAAGTTTGTTCACTGATGGGGTCATTAGGGCTTTAAGGCTGTTTCAGGATTAAAATTTTTTTGCACTGATAAAGTTGTTTTTAGGTGACTAGAAGTCACCATGATGTCACATCTGCTTCTCTATCAATATTTATGGAGTTAGTACAATTCCCAAGAAAAGGTTTCTTAAGTGGTAAGCTGCTTAATATGAAGCTATAGTTCTACACATATATATCTTAGATATTATGGCAAATGCTTTTTTAAATCTGTAAATGGAATCACAGAATGTGGATGAAAATAAGGATATAATTGACAGACATGTGAAAAATCACTTGTAACACGTACTTTAATATGAAAATGGTTACACATAATACAGTACCTTAATTATCGACTCTTTCCTTAGCTGCAGATTTGGAATTTGACTGAGTAAAACATTTATCTCAGAACCCATGCACTAGTAGGTTAGATTAAAAACAGGAGAAATGAAATGTATATTGCAGCAAACATCAGAGGAGGTTGAATATGAGAAGAACAGGCTGTTTAATTTTTCAGATTAAGTTAACATGGGGAAAATGAAAATTCAATAAAAGTAGGAGATTTAACAACAGAAAGCTGCAAAGGCATAAAAAGATGAACTGAGTATCTGTTAAATGAAATTTCAGCACCTGTTTATCAATACTGTAAGCACAATGAAATGGACAGCATAGCAGGCGGTGCCACTAACAAATTATACCAAATGGGCTAAGCTTTTGAAAAGTATCAGTCAGAAATAATCTTATATAATAAAACTAAGGAATTTGAGTTATGTGTGTCAATAATAGAAATACACTGGCACGTGGATTAAGGAGATTGGCTGGCAAATACTACATGTGTACAGCAACTTGTTCTTTGACTAAGGTCACATCAGGAAATAAGAAAGCTCTAACAACCATTTGGAATAACTAAGGGCATGATTTTGCAGTAGAACATTAAGCATTGCCACACTACCTTCTCATCTTTCCATTCAGAAATTATATTTTCCATAAATATAAATATAGTAGAAGCAGCAAAAATTCTTGATCTTGTGACAATACCTAATACCATTAATAAGACAGCTTTTGATGTCTGAAAGTAATGACTTCTTTTAAAACCCCTACTTGTGCCAAAATGATAGGCAGTATTAGAGATAATGCTTTTGTAATTTGAGTAATATTGTTTCCCTCCTCCCCCCATAAAGTGTTTTGTGACCTACAAACTTTGCCTGGTAATAATAAAAATGGTGAATAGTCAACATTACTTCTTGAGCAAAAGATTATTAAAGTCCATTATAGGAAAATACTCTATATTTATTTGGGATTACTAAAAGCTGTGTCTTTTAGCTATACCATGAGAAATTGTGCAAAATATAACAGTATGACAAAAGAAAAATCACTAGAAGTGGTTTTACTTCTTACTCCTTTGGAAGCAGGAAATTAAGACTATAATTACATTAAATGGCCAAAGGAAGTGGGAAAATAAGACTCAAAATGACTTGTCCTAGCCCACTGCTGCTACTGTATGTAGAGAATAGATACTATCAGAAGAGACAAAGAATAAAGGATCTAGAGGATGTTGAAGATATCAGGAAACAATATCTCGTCTTCCAATTTGTCACTGAAATAATGGAAGATCTGGGAGGCTTTGGGAGTGAAAAGTTGAGTAAAAGAATTATTTTCATTTCTGATTCTAGCTTAAGATACCAGAAGGATATATGTATCTGAACAGAAGCAAACCTATAAGGAAATAAACTAAAGTTCATGATATTTTTTCAGCAGCAAATATCTGGGAGGGTGTCAAAACAATAATTATAGACTCACATTTGCATAAATGGTCAAAATCAAACTAGATTAAGCCAAAGAAGTAAATATAGCCTTTCAGGTATCTTTGAGACTAGCATAAGCCATGAATCTAAGGCCAATGTATATAAAAAAAGACAATGTACTTGAAACAGATTAGTGAAAATCCATGGGACTTAGGTAAAAACACGAGAGACCTTTTAAACCTAAGTTTATATTACCAACCACTTGGCCAAAGACATAATGGATACCACGTTCTTGATGAAGCTTCCAAAGGCAAAATACAAGGGCAGGGTATTGGTGGAAAAGCTGTACTAAACTAAATATTTCCTGGAAGTTGGTTCTACTAAAAGTTGAATGGAAAAATTATTGACTTGCCTTTTCTTTGAGTAGGGGGCAGTACTGGGGTTTGAAAGCAGAGCTTCACACTACTGTTTAAGCCAAGCCTCGAGAGTCCTTTATGCTTTCTTTTTTCTTTTCGGTATCAGGCCTAAAGCCACAGCTCTACTTCCAGCTTTTTGGTGATTAATTGGAGATTAAAAAAAAAAAAAGTCTCATGGACTTTCCTGCCTAGACTGGCTTAAAACCACAATTCTCAGAGTTAGCCTTGTGAGCAGCTAGAATTACAAGCATGAGCTACCAAGGCCTAGTTCTGGTTATTTCTGAGACACGGTTGCAGATTTACCCTGAGATAAAGGACATGAGAACTACTTTTTGCCCAGGCTGGCCCTGGAAGGACTGCATAGCTGGAATGACAACACTTGTGTACCACCATGCCCAACTTTATAGGTTGAAATGAGGTCTTGAAAACTTTTTGCCTGGTCTGGCCCTAAACCACAATGCTCCCACTTTTACCCTCTTCAGTAACTATTATTGCAGGCATAACTCTTTTATGTCTGACTTGCCTTCTTGTCAATATAATAGGAGCATCTCTAATCTGGAAATCTAAAATTTTAAAAAATCTGAAGCTTATTGGGTATTGATATGACTCTAGAATTTTGATTTAAGGATGCGTAACCTATAAAATCTATTCAAATATTCCAGAATCTAAAAAATACTGAAATCTGAAATGCATCTGGCCCCAAGCATTTAACATTGAGATGGTAATAAAGAAAGCTGCAATGCTGAACCAAATTTTGACAAGAGTTCTTGGCAACAGAAATCCTACAAAAACAATGGCATTCTAGAATTTCAGGAAAAAAAGCTAAATATAACTGTTTTGGGTTACACTGTGTCCCCCAAAATTAATGTGAAGTCCTGTCCCCCATAATCTCATAATATGAATTTATTTGGAAATAGGATTGTTGAAAATGGAATGAGTTATAATAGGTAACATTGGAGTAGGGTGGGCCCTTAATACAAGGGCTGTGTTCTTATAAAAAGAGGAAATTTAAAGACAAGAATAGAGGAAAAAAATACCTTGTGAAGATGAAAGCAGAGCTCTAGTTATGTTTCTATAAGCCAAGGAATGTAAAAAGATGGCTAGAGAATCCAGAACGGGGCAAAAGGCTTGGAAACAGATTTTTCACTTTTAGCCCTCAGGAGAGCCAATCAGCTGCTCTCACCTTGATCATAGATTTCTACCCCTTCCACAGTCCCAAGGCTCTTGGAGTTTAAGCACCTTAATTTGTGGTACAATCTGTGGTAGCCTTAGAAAAGTGGGCAAACGACCTCAAGGCCTGGCACATTAATTATAATGGAAGATGACACAAAGTTGAAAGCACTTAGGAAATACTGCAATATCACAAAATTCTGATGAGGTGAAAAAAAAGCATCCAAATATGACTACTAGAACAAAAATATAGTTTTCAGAAGGGGAAAAAGTTCATTTTAAAAAGCAGGGCCTCTATTTTGATTCTGAATCAAATTTTAGAATAGATTATTAATGCAGCTATTTATGATTATTTAGGGAAAAGCATTGTTTTTTTTTTTGTGATTCAGATAATAGTTTAAGAGACTAGCAAATCTTGAACTAAAAGATTAGCAGAGATTTAGAACCATGGCCCAAATGAATTTTAGTAGAGGCTTACATTATTTTGCTGTAGGCCTTTGTCCTTAGCTTTGGTTTGTTCAAATTAAACAAAACAAAATCAACAATAAATCACATGAATGATTCAAGTGGACAAAACTAGTACTCAAAAAATTATTAGTCCACATTCAAAAACACCATAGGAGATGAAATTCTGTAGGCAACCCCCAGGCAAGAACATTGAGAACAGTAGTAAATATAGAGCAAACAGGAATTTCAAATGGTATTAACCTTAGCAACTTAACCTCCAAATGAGGTTGCCTCCCATAGCTAATGAATACTAGATTTGATCACAATGTGATAAGATGGTAAGGTAAGCAGACTACACTCCAACAAATTGGAGAAATTTAGTTAACAAAACACTGGTAGGGAGAAAACATAACAGGTTTTAAAGCCAAAGACCTGAAGATGGAATTAAAGTTAGTTTCTAATTTTAGAGGGCAGAGTTAGGTTCAATACATGAAAGTTATGGGGTAGTAAAATTTTAGACCAATATGAGAAAGAACTTTCTAAGAAATAAGAGTTGCTTACATATGGAAAGGATTATTTAAGGAAAGAAATGAATTTCCCATTCCTGATAATATTTAAGCAGAGCCAAGATCCCTTAGCATGTTTGAAGAGGACTCAGCCTTCTGTGAGGATGAGAAGTATCTAAGATCCATTGATTCCATGTGAAGCAGGAGAACTTTATAATCATGATGCCTGGATTGCAATTTCCTCTGCCTCGTTTAAAAAAAACCCCTCAGAACACAGAAACCAGCGTCACCTTTTAAAGCTTAAAAGAACTATAACTTAGTTTTTCTCTATTTTTTCCACTCATGCCAGAAGCTATGGACTGGAGGAAGAGCAAAAGAAGTTAGTTACAACATTATTCTAGCCTGGAGGAGGGGCAAAAGAAGTCACAACATTGTTCTATCTTACCCTTCAAAGAAATCTTTCAGAAAACAAAACTAGTATGTCTTGGAGTCATAGCCTTGGGTCTAGTATCATTTCTGTTTACAGGGCTGGTTATATTTTTTGTTGTATCTTTCTGCTCTTCAAACCTGTGACTCTGGGCTGGGAAGGTGATAGAGTGCTTGCCTTGTATGCATGAGGTCCTGGGTTCGATTCCTCAGCACCACATAAGCAGAAAAAGCCCAAAGTGGTGCTGTGGCTCAAGTGGTAGACTGCTAGCCTTCAGCTGAAGAGCTGAGGGACAGCACCCAGATGGACACGGAAAACAAAACCAACCCCCCAAAACAGTAACTCTCTCAGGGTGATTTACCATTTAAGTGTGCTCCCCTCATTTCCTAATTCTCCCAAACACATTGATATATAAGATACAAGCAATGACTGTCTCATGAGGCGAAATCTGGTCATCATGTTAGCAATAAGTTGATCATTTAGAGAAGGGCCATTAAAAATAATGAAAAATAATTGAAACCATATTTAATTTATTTTAAAATATATGCTATCTAGAAAAATGTTTTGTGCTTTTAAGGTTGTATCAGTCAGTGCTCAGTTATAAAATCAATCTTACTAACCTCCTCGAGCAAAGCTATTGGATGGGTTTACATCCAAATGTCCTGGCACTACCTGTTTAAGCACAGTGGACATTCTTGAAGTCATCTTTTCAGTCCCTAAAAGTCAGCCAAAAAGAAGAACAAAAACCATATTGTTTGGGTTAACATTACTCAAATGACAAAAAGTTATCTTCATGTGTAGCATGTTTAATTGCTGCCAAACACTGTACTTCTTAAGTACCAAAGCTTAATTAGAGATAACAAGGCAATGTTACTTAATCAGAGATACACACACATTTGAAAGATTATAGAGTTAAGTTTGGCAAATGCAATCAGAGAACTTAATGATAAATGAAGCGAGGCATGCATGGTGTTACTTTACAAGAAAGCCACTTTCTGCTTATGTAGAGCTAATTCAAACAGCTGATTAAGCCAAAGAGACCAACTTTTCAAGTCACATGCTCCTCTCTAACACGTTAGGGTTACCTCTACATGAACCCTTTGGGGTTCCACCACATGATAACTGAAATAGAATATTAGTACAAGTCTTAATGGCTTTATTCAAATCCAGAGAAAACAAACTAATGCAAAATCGTAAAAGGCTAAAGAAGTTTTGGGAATTTCAAACAAACAATGATTTTAACACATATATATTTAACAAACAAAATACTCAATTTGAAAATTATATTTCATAATAATATTTTAAGGTTTATTTAAAATTATTGAGTAAAAATTGACTTTAAGTTCCTTACCTCTTAACTCTTTTTAAGAGAAAATAATGGAATTGCTAAGTATAGTGATTAATTACTAGATATTACAGTGGTATTGACTTATAAGTATAGAAGTAAAAGTTAATGGTCCCAGAGGGGAAAAAATTTGCAAAGGTCATGTTTATGGGACAGTAAATGTAACTAAAAAACTAAATCCTAGAAATACATGTGTAGTAGTAATTAATAAGAAGAGTATTATCAAATCTTACCTGGAGACAGAGCAAGTGCTGGCCTGACAGTAAGTGTATTGTTGCCTTTGAGTTTCTGATGGACAGAAACTGCATTCAATAAAGCTTGCAAGTATTTTTCTTGTTCTATGCTACTGGAAGATTCTAAAGAGGAGGTAGGAGCTACAAAAGGAAAAAAAAGTGAGATAAGACAAATGATTTCCTTGTTAAAGCAGCTTTTATAGATACCTCCTTTTACTTTATCCATATAGTCTCATATTACCACATCCAATGTAGAAACCCTCTATTTAAAGTCCCAATCAATTGAATGGCTAATCCTATGATGCTGGATTTATATACCTACTTCTCAGATGCTTTATCATCATAGAAGATATTCTTGAAGTTTTCCTTTCAGTCCCTAAAGAGCCCACATCTGAAAAAACAGGACAGGGGGCTATTCCCAAGCACAGGTATAGCTTTTTTAATCCAAGAACTCAAAGTGATAATCCCTTAGATTATCCCGCTTTAATACCTTGCCCTTGCTACTATTTGGGAGTCCAGGATGGAGTGGGTTTGTCTGGCATCCTATAATCAACAGAGGTGGTTTTCCGATACCATAAGCTTTATTCCAGTTTTGTCACATAGGCCTGAAAGGAACATAAACCTGTACAGGAATTTGTTGAGGAAAGAGTAAAAGAAGAATGGAAGAAGATGGGGAGTATGAAAAGAACAATTACAACTAGATTCCTTGATCCTTCAAAATAAAGAAGGGAAAAAGTATGCAAAGAAGGAAATAATCATGAGATCAAACAATTGGAGGGGCCATGAGCTTTGTATATGTAGAGCAAAATACAATCACTGAAACTAGTTTAGGTACTTTAAAGAGTATCAGGAAGGTATAAATTTTCTTACAACTTGATGGGCTGGGAAGAGTGCTTGCCTTGCATGCATGGGGCCATGAGTTCCATTCCTCAGCACCACATTAGCAGAAAAAGCCAGAGGTGGCGCTGTGGCTCAAGTGGTAGAGCGCTCGCCTTGAGCTGAAGAGCTGAGGGACAGCACCCAGGCTCAGAGTTCAAGCCCCACGACAAACAACAACAACAAAAAAATGACGACATCTTAGAGTTTAAAAAGTATAATAGCATGTTAGTGTTGATTGTAAAATGCTAATTATTTTCTGTTCAAGTTGTAAGAAAAAAATTAAATAATTTTTAAATACATTTTATTCTATTTATTTTTTGTTGGTTTTCTAGTGGTTTATTGGAGATAAGAGTCTCATGGACTTTCCTGCCCGGGCTGGCTTTGAACCATGATCCTCAGATCTCAGCCTCCTGAGTAGCTAGGATTACAGGCGTGAGCCACCGGCGCCTGGCAGATGTCATCATTTGTAAGATGGACTTGCCATTTAAAACTGATCACATTAACTGGAAGATGGATCCCAATTTTTTTTTTTTTTGGTCCAGTCGTGGGGCCTGAACTCTGGGCCTGGGCACTGTCCTTCAGCTCTTCAGCTCAAGGCTAGTGCTCTACCACTTGAGCCACAGCGCCACTTCCGGCTTTTTTTCTTTTTGCTTATGTGGTGCTGAGGAATCAAACCCAGGGCCTCAGGCATGCAAGGCAAGCGCTCTACCACTGAGCCACCTTCCCAGCCCTGGATCCCAATTTTAAGGACAGTAAAAAATGAATAACTATGTTTGCTCAAAAAATGAAATACAGTAAATCAGTATTAAATAAAGCAGAAACCAGTAAAATACGTTATTCTTTCTCTACGAAGAGCTCAGGGGCATGCTCTTACAGGTACTTCTAAAATGATTAATGTATATAATTCAAGTGATTGTGTTCTATTATATATACTATGTGGCTTGGGAGATTCCCTACACATAAACTGGTAAAAGTCAATGTCCTCCAGTTACACCAGTGCTGAGACTCCATGCCAGACAGAATAATACAGCATTGTCTATGTGCTACTCTGATGCCAACCTAAAGATTAAGGACATAGTAGCCAACCTCAAAAAGTTCCTGTCCAAGGAAATAAGAATGACCAATAGACACATAAAGAAATGCTCAATATCTCTGGCAATAAAAGCAATGCAACTCAAAACTACATTGAGATTATACCTCACACCAGTTAGAATGGCCATTATCAAGAAAACAGTAACAGATACTGGTGATGATATGACCAAGGGAACACTACTACGGTGTTGGTGGGAACATACACTTGTTCAACCATTCTTGAAAGCAGTATGAAGGTTCCTCAAAAGACTAAACATAATGCCCCCCTATGACCCAGCAATCCCACTCCTGAGCATTTACTCAAATGATCACAAACAAGCCCACACTAAAGCTACCAGTACAACTATGTTCTCTGTAGCATTATTTACCATAGGTACGTTAAGGAATCAGTCCAGATGCCCCTCGGTAGATGTATGGACCAAGAAAATGTGATATATATAAAAATGGAATTCTATGCTTCCATCAGAAAGAATGATATCATCCCATTAGTCAGGAAATAGAAAGTCTTAGAAAAAAATCATACTAAGACCCAAAGAAACATAGGCTTCAAGGTTTCCTCATCTGTAATAATTAGTATATGCCTAGAATAGTCCTAGCAGAGGTTCATGACAGCCCAAAAGCTATGTACATATGACCATATAAAATGATACTAATTGAAATGATCTCCGCGATGTGGAAATAGAGGGTTATTTTTTGCCCCCCCCCCTCCCCGCCCCGGCTTTTCTCTCTTTCTTTGTATATTTTTTGCAGTTCCTTTGTCTGGTGTTTTTTTCTCCTCAGGTTTATTCCCCGTGGTCACAGTTTCTGATTTGGGTACTCTTTGTCTTATATATAAGTTTATCTGATTTGGGGAAGGGAAGGGGAATCACAGAAATTGTGGGACAGGGCTGGGAAGGTGGCTCAGTGGTAGAGCGCTTGCCTTGCAAGCATGAGGTCCTGGGTTCGATTCCTTAGCACCACATAAGCAAAAAGCCAGAAGTAGTGTTGTGGCTCAAGTGGTAGAGCGCTAGCCTTGAGCTGAAGAGCTGAGGGACAGCGCCCAGGCCCAGAGTTCAGGCCCCACGACCGGAACCAAAAAAAAAAAAAAAAAAAAAGAAATTGTGGGACAAAGATGGGAACCAAAAAAAAAAAAGAAATTGTGGGACAAAGGTGAACCAGTGCAACAACAATACTCACTAGACACTATGTTAGAAATGAACTTTACAACTTAGGGAGTTGGGGAGTCTGGAGCAGGGAAGGAGAGCAGGAGAAAATGAGGGAGGGGTTAAAACTATTCAAAAAGAAATGTATTCATTACCTTTTTATGTAAGTGTGACCTCTCTGTACATAACCTTTACAATAAAATTAAATTTAAACAAAGTAACTCTCTAATCACACAATTTGAGTTTACCTATTTAAAAAAAATTGTTATTATAAAGGTGATATACAGGGCTGGGAAGATGGCTCAGTGGTAGAGAGCTTGCCTTGCATGCATGAGGCCCTGGGTTCGATTCCTCATCACCACAGAAGCAGAAAAAAACAGAAGTGGTGCTCTGGCTCAAATGGTAGAGTGCTAACCTTGAGCTGAAGAGCTGAAGGACAGCGCCTCATGGCTGACAAAAAAAAAAAAAAAAAAAAAAAGTGATGTACAGAGGGGTTACAGTTACAGGTAATGAGTACCATTTCTTTTTGGACAATGTCACCTCTTCCCTTACTCTCTCCCAATTTTTCCCTCCTGTCCCCACCTATGAGTTGTATAGTTCATTTTCAGCATAGTGTTTAGCAAGTACCACTGCTACATTTGTTCACACTTTGTCCCTCCATTTCTGTGCTGCTTTTATCCTCTCAAAGACAGAATAAGTGGACAAACAAGACAAAAAGAAAACAATAACAAAGAAAAACTCTCATTTCCATTTCCTGGAGTTCATTTTGATAAATATTATTTTATATGATTAGAGGCACATAGCCATTGGGCCTTTGTGTCCCTCCCCTAAGAGTATCCTCCTTTGATCTCACTGTGTGAGATTATCTCATTTCAAAGGGGGAAGAATGCTGCTCTTTATAATAGGATCTGATAATTTTACTGAGCACTTATAAGTTAGAAACTATGAGAAAACTCAACAAACTACAGCTTCTGATAAGACTTTACATATGATACTTGCTAATATTATCAGAAAAAGGGACAGCAGCACTTATTATTTCCCTAGCTTCCTAAAACAGCCTCTTGAGAGTTCCTAAGGCAGCATTTTATTTCATTAATTTGCTTTGATTGTGAATGTAGGAATGAGACAGGATATCTGATATCACATGGGACAAAATCCTTATTTGCAACTGAGGTCAAACGTCATTAAATATATGTGGATGGTTCCCAGAAAAAGGAAAAAGAGTGTTAGTTTCCATCTGTGGATACTCTCGTTTTCTGAAATGTCAAGTAGCCTAGAACCAAAGCTATTACAATTCACAATTCACTAAAAGTTGAAATAAAGATCAGATGTACTAAGCAAGATGTCAAATTCAAGGTGAAGTCCCACATTACTAAGCTGAACATGTTATATGAAGCACGCTGGAATAGTTGATGTGCGAGACAAGGCTTGATGAAAGAACACAGATGGTATTTTACTTTGTTTTTAGGAAGACCTTTTTCTTTTGTTCTGTTTTTCCTTTGAGATAAGTTCTTGCCATGGTACTCAGGGGGTAGCTTTGAACTCCTGCGCTCAAATGATCTTAGTCTTTCCAGTAGCTTAGTACAGAAGTGTGTCAGGCTTATTTTTAAGAATACTTTTAAGTGAAATGGTCACAGTTGTGCTGTAGAGAGATGCTTACCGGCCTGAGGAGAGTTCTGAGACTTGAAAAGACCAACAACTCCCTTCCCATGGAATCCTCCAGATCGGAGGAGCAAAGTTCCACTTCTTGAGTTCTTCCAACATACCACAGGTAGGCGATTGTGTCGATAGCAGCGGGCTACTCTTGGTAAACTACTGTCCTGTACAGATTGAGGTATGACTAAAAGGCCAGGATAGCTTCAGGATGTGAGGAGAAAAGGATTGGGAGAGAGGGAGAATATAAGAATATGAACAACATAGCAACCATTTTCTATTTACTTTTCTGCCATTGACTTAAAGCCATTCCTAGGTTTTTTCTTTTTTTTTTTTTTGTGGGTGTGTGCTGGTCCTGGGGCTTGAACTCCCTGACCTTTTGTGCTTATAGCACTCTACCACTTGAGCCTCAGCTCTACTTGCAGCTTTTTTTTTGGTGATTACTTGGAAATAAGAATCTCATGGACTTTCCTGTTGGGACTGGCTTCAAACTCCATCCTAAGATATCAGCCTTCTGAGTAGCTAGGATTACAGGCATAAGCCAATGATGCCTGGCTCATCCTAGACATATTTTGAAGGCAAAGTCAATAGGATTTTCTGACAGATTGGATGTGAGAGGTCTGTTTTATTAGTGGAAACCATAATTTTGATAGTAAGCTTCCCAAACAGCAGGACACCACATTCTGACACCACCACTTACACTTATTTACAAAGAGAAATTAGTGAAGACAGAAAAATCACTGCCTATTCAGAGTATCAACTTTTCAGTATTTCATTCAAAATGTTTATTTGGACACTATAAAGTTATATTCCCAAAAACTTTTTCTCAAGTTTCATCTGATGTCTTGAAAACTTAAATTACCACTTAAAAGTGTGTGTATTTTCTTCAGAAACAGGAAAGTTGAAACTAATAGTAACATTAAGACTACTGTCGGAAGTGGTGCTATGGCTTAAGTGGTAAAGCACGAGCCTTGAGCTGAAGAGCTGAGGGACAGCACCCAGGCCCAGAGTTCAAGGCCCATGACCAACAACAAAAAATAATAATAATAACAATTAAAAAATAAATTTAAAAAAGATTACTGTCATAAATATTTTATACAGCCAGGCGCTGGTGGCTCACGCCTGTAATCCTAGCTACTCAGGAGGCTGAGATCTGAGGATCGCGGTTCAAAGCCAGCCTGGGCAGGAGAGACCGTGAGACTCCTATCTCCAATAAACCACCAGAAAACTGGAAGTGGTGCTGTAGCTCAAGTGGTAGAGTACTCGCCTTGAGCTGAAGTGCTGAGGGACAGCGCCCAGGCCCAGAGTTCAAGCCCCACGACCGACAAAAAAAAAAAAAATTTATACAAGGCTTACAATTTGAAAAGTGCTTTCCAAGCTCTGTAATCAGCAAGAATTTATAAATGCAAAGAAAATAATTTATCTAGAGCTGTAAGAAATAAACTTGTACATGGTAGAATGTAGTTTCAGAAATATACTTATATATAGTAAAGCAAGAAATAGCACTTAAAATGATAGGAAGTGACAAGAATAGAAAAAAATACTGACTTACATTCTCTAAGAAAATTTTTGGGAAAACATTCCAATCAGAGAGCATAAAAGAATTCTGTCTACATCCAGGTTAGCAAATTACAACAGAGAGAGAGAGAGAGAGAGAGAGAGAGAGAGAGAGAAGAGAGAGAGAGAGAGAGAGAGAGAGAGAGAGAGAGAAAGAGAGAGAGAAAAAGAGAAAGAGAGAGAGAGAGTTTTCTTCAAAAAATCTTTACCCATAGTAGAAAAAGAGGGAATCTAGAAAGAGAAAGACAGATAATGTAAATTCATAAACAGAACAGCACTCTTTCTCTTGCTGTCCTAATATAGACAATTTCAGTGATGTTACAGTTGCTCTGAGAATACCAAAGAAATGACTGTTCATGGTGCATAGAAAGTATCTCTGAAACATATATCCCTGAGGAGTTGGCTCTCCTCTCTGGCATATCAATATATTGGCTATAAATATAAACAACCAATAAAGACTCAAATTGGAAGAAAGGAAAGTTCTCTTTTTGGAGCTCACTGACACTTACCTCCGGCACAGTGAATACAGCCTGTTGGAAGCAGTGATTCGGAAATACTCTGGTTTTGAACGGGAGGAGCTGCCACTTATGGTTCCCAAACCTAAACGCTGATAGTCTCTGAAACAAGCTTTTTCTACTAGCTGTTCCATCGTAGACTTCTCTGAGGCTTTCAAGGTGGTACTTGTAGGAAGTTCACTATCATCTGAAACTATTATGCAGAGACAGGTTTTGCAGAAAAAAATTCAAAACTTTTTTCCTTTTTTCTTTCTTAGCTTTTTTTTGCTCAAGGCTAGTGCTTTACCACTTGAGCCACAGCACCACTTCTGGTTTTCTGGTGGTTAATTGGAGGTAAGAGTCTCTCAGACTTTCCTGCCTAAGCTGGCTTTGACTACAATCCTCAGATCTCAACCTCCTGAGTAACTAGGATTACAGGTGTGAGCCTAGAAATTTCTGGACTAAAGCCGGGGTACCAGTGGCTCATGCCTGTAATCCTAGCTACTCAGGAGGCTGAGATCTGAGGATTGTAGTTCAAAGCCAGCCCAGGCAGGAAAAGCCGTACAACGCTTATCTCCAATAAACCACTCAGAAAACCAGAAGTGGTGCTGTGGCTCAAGTGGTAGAGTGCTAGCCTTGAGCTGAAGAGCTGAGGGACAGCGCCCAGGCCCAAAGTTTAAGCCCCATGACCAACCCCCCCCCCCCAGCCCCCCACCAAAAAAACCCACCAAACCAAAAACAAAGAAATTTCTAGACTAACCAAAAACTCATCAGAGGGAAAAAAGACCTCCCCTCTCCTTAGAATAGCAGAAAGTTATACTTTATTTCTAGAAGTATTTTCATTGGAGGATGTGATGTATATGAAAAACTCTCTCACTATTTTCTAATCACTTTACCAATTCCTGTAAGATTTTAGACATGGGATTATTTACTCAATCATGCATTTTAGGGATGTTTTAAAAGAAAAAAGGCATTCCTAAATAATACTGCATGTTCTAAGTAACAACAAAAACATCCATATTAAAAACTGTCTTAAATGACGTCAGGGTAGGAACATATGGGATGGGGAGAAATGATTAAGGAGTACCAGACATTTAAATTGACATGTTAAATTGTAACCCCTTTGTTCAACTTGTTTTTTTGTCCTGGGGTTTGAACTCAGGGCTTGGGTGCTGTCCCTGAACCTCTCTGTACTCAAGGCTAGTGTTCTACCACTTGAGCCATAGCACCACTTCCAGCTTTTTTTGAGTAGTTTATTGGAGGTAAGAGTCTCAATAGACTTTTCTGCCCAGGTTGGCTTTGAACTGAGATCCTCAGACCTCAGCCTCTTGTATAGCTAGGATTACAGGTATGAGGCACTGGCTCACTCGTATAACCTTTGTAAGTTAAAATTTAAAAAACAACACTCCCCCCTCCCCCCAACAACCTGTCCTCTCCTCTTTCCCTCCTCCCTTTTCCTTGACATTTAGATGGACATGTTAAATTATATCCTTCTTGTACAACCTTTTGAAGTTAAGAAATTAAAAAAAATTCCCTTTCCTCTTTCTTCCCTTCCCTGACTGTGATGGTCCTGAAACTTGAATTCAGGAACTGGGCATTGTCCCTGAGTTTCTTTGCTTAAGGCTAGTGCTCTATCACTTGAGCCATAGCTCCACTTCTGGCTCTCTGGTGGTTATAACTAGAGATGAGAGTTTCACAGACTGTCCTCTCTAAGTTGGCTCTGAACAATGATTCTCAAATATCAGCCTCCTGAGTAGCTAGGATTACAGGTGTGAGCCATTGGCACCTGGTTTCTTTTATAATGAGAAAAAAGTCAAATTAAACTTCCAAAGTTTTTGGAAATGAACTCAAAAGTACTAATATGTAAGGGAAAGATGTGTCTTTTTTCTATTAAAATTAAAAATAAAAAAGCTGAAAACCAAGAGCTTATCCCTATATACAAATCATCGTAGTTCAACGTAAATTAAATGGTGTAATATAATCAGGTATTTTTTAAAAAAAACTCCCAGCTTTTTTCTTTTTGAAAATAATTTTTTCAAGTTCAAAAGAGAACAGTCTTTTCATGAGGTTTTCTGCTTCGTGTTTTAAATACAATTATATTTTCAGCTTCTTTCTATTCATATCAGAAAAAATATTGATTCATGAAAAATAATTTCTCACATACCAGATATGTCATCATCTTCATTCCATCCAGGACGATTTACTCTTTCTTCCACAATTGTTCCTGTCCTCTTCTTCAGTAAATACTGACGCCCAATAGTCATTTTCCCTGCCCTTTTGGCACCTTTCACAATTGTTTTTGAGAAGGTTCTACAAGTCACAAAACAAGACAGAATGTCAATTTAATATGAAGGTGCCATCAATATTTTTGCCATTTATCTGGCTCAATTTTTTCCTTCTCCTTCATCTGCACTGTATTATACAGATCTGTATTATACACCTGTATTATAATACAGGTGAAGACTAAATATGATATTGATTATGCTCCTCTCTAACACAACAAATAGAATTCTTTTTATGCTTCTTGCCACTCTGGAAAAAGTGGTAAGGATTCTTTTATTGTCTCATAGATCAGTCTTAGTCATCTACAATGTAAACATGAAGGTTTTAACATGTTTTGGCTAGCTGTTACAAGACATAAAATACAAATATTTCCTAAAATAAACCTGTAAATCACTTCGCGTATAACTTAAATTCAGTAGTATTTTTAAAAACTTTTTTCCCCCTCAGATATAGCCATAGTCTTTGTTTCACACACAATTTTTAAAAGCTTAAAACTGCAGCCTGTGCACCAGTGGCTCACATCTGTAATCCTAGCTACTTAGACTAAGATCTGAGAATGGAGGTTTGAAGCCAGCCAGGGTAGCAAAGTCTGTGAGACTCATCTCCAATTAACCACCAAATAGCCAGAAGTGGAACTCAAGTGGTAGAGCACTAGCCTTGAGCATAAAAGCTCAAGAACAGCACTCAGACGCTGTGCTCAAGCCTCAGGAAGGACTGGCACAAGCAAACTATAGTTGCTTTCTTTTCTTGTAGTTGATACAATAGATATATTTCTGAAATGAGAAATATATATTTCTGAGAGATTCTAAATCTAAAAACAGTATCAAGTTTTATTGAGGTTTTCTCTGTGACCCTACAGTGCTGAGTTCTTAGTTTACTGTTATAAATCCCTAATAAGTTGTTACAGCCTTAGCATATCATATCTTGATATTCATTTTCTCTTTGTTAACCAAGTAATATTAGGGGTTAGCCATGGATGCAGTTGAGAAATGACAATTGTCTAGAACCTCAAATCTTCTATAATCTTGAAACTACTTCACTTTTAGGCAGAAAGTCTGCATAGCTCTTTCGAATACGTAATTTGTACTGGTGGATGCTCACATTCTAGTTGATTAATGGTGAATGAACAGGAATGGCAGCTTCTGCAGTTTACCTCTGATGGAAAAAATTATTAAGTATTAAAAGTTTCAAACGTTTCCAAAAATCATTATAAAAAAAGTAAGAGTTCATCCAATCATTAATTAGAAGGCTTGATCCTGAATTGATTCTGGATCAGAAAAAAAAAAAAGACCTATAAGGAGTTCTTAGCAAATTAAATATAGAGTCAGATAAGTGCTTTATGCCCATATTTTTATTAACTTTGTATATAATATACATATAAATGTATGTTTTATATGCATGTACGTATATACTCACACTGATTAAGCTGGGAAAAGGATATACAGGAATCCTTTGGATTACTGTTGTAGATTTGTTTTCAGGCTGAAACTATTTATTTATTTATTTATTTACTTGCCAGTCTTGGGGTTTGAACTCAGGGCACAGTCCCTGAGTTTCGTTTGCTCAATCAAGGCTAGCACTCTACCACTTGAACCACAGTGTCACTTCTGGCTTTTTCTGTTTATGTGGTACTGAGAAATTGAACCCAGGGCTTCATGCATGCTAGGCAAGCACTCTATCACTAAACCACATTCCCAGCCCCAGTCTGAAATTATTTAAAACAAGGTTACCAAACAAAAACAACCCACCAAACTTCAACAACAAAACCCAAAGTAATGACTTCTGTCTCAAGGTCAAAGCAAAATTTTCCTTGGCCTGGATCTGATAAAAGTAGAAGGGATTGTAAAAGTGTGAAAACAGAATTTCACATTTAAAAAATATATCATGAGCAGTGGACATGATAGTCAAAACTTCTTAGATTTTGCATCTTGTTTCATTTATCTTCCATAACTTTATGAACTTGAGCCAATCAGACAGAATAGTACATAAAAAGAATAATAATTTATACCTTGACACAAAGGATAGATTACTTCCTCTGACAATCAGTTATGAGAGGGCTGAAATGAACAGACTTATCTTTTTGTTTTCTTACCGGAAGGAAGTGTTTTTTTCCTTCTGTTTGGGTAAAATTATTTGTGGGGTAGTTTGTCCAGCAGCAAAAGCGAAGGTACTGAAAATGGACTGAGGATAACGGAACTTCATTAACTGTTTCTTAAAGATCTCTACTACTTCTGGGCTGACTTCTTCATCAAATGCTACTTTAATCAACTAGAGACAAAACAAATTAAAGACATCAGAAGCATTAAGAATTTCTAGACAACTGTCCCATAAATAATTAGAAAAATCCCCAAAAAGTCAAACTAAATAGTAAGATTTTGGAAGTTGCAGACTTTGGATACCAAGAAAAACTAAAATTTTTTAGGTTAAAAAAAAGCTCTGAAAAGTTTACTTGAAATAGATGGTTAGCAAAGGAAATACCTTCATGAAGCTGGATTTCTTCAGGATTATTTACAGTGGGATAACTTGTAGTAGCTGTAATAGCCAACATGTCATTTATAGTTCTTAAGAGATGCTCCTAGAGAGCAATCTAATAAGATCCCTTGTTATGCAGAGATTCAACAAATCTAAGAAGAAAAAATTCAATTTCACCATATTCCTTACCAGTACAGTTTGGCAATATTTGAGTGTAGAATTCTTGGTAGTTGCAACAATTAGTCAATGTTTCCAAGTGACATGAGAAGGCCTAAAGTCTAGTGATCATTAACTTCACATTTTATAGTGTTAGCAAATGCTAACTACTACGAGGCAAGGTTTCTGACTGAAAGGAACGATACTAGAATTGGAATCCTTGGAAATTCAGGAAGTCAGAGACAGAGAATACAGAATAGGAAAACCAAAATTTGTCTTTTTTTTTTGGTCCAGTCGTGGGGCCTGAACTCTGGGCCTGGGTGCTGTCCCTCAGCTCTTCAGCTCAAGGCTAGCGCTCTACCACTTGAGCCACAGCGCCACTTCGGGCTTTTTTCTTTTTGTTTATGTGGGGCTGAGGAATCGAACCCAGGGCCTCAGGCATGCAAGGCAAGCACTCTACCACTGAGCCACCTTCCCAGCCCCCCAAAATTTGTCTTTTATCTAAAGTCTTCATCAAACAGGAACTGAGGTACAGCATGGCAGAGAAAAAGAGCTAGTGTGTGTATGAGGTTGTAAGAATACTAAATAATGCCAACCTGTTAGTACTCGAGTTTGTAAAGGGACTCCTGAAGTGAAGGATTAGATTCCAAATGATTCATGGGTTTTTCTCAGGTGACAATAACCCTCCCTAACACTCATCTTCTTTATTCTCATTCTCTAACTTTTGACCCTATGCCCATAGAAAGTAGTCATAACGTCAGTAGAAATTTTGAACATTGGAAGACTGGCTTCTTTAAAATCAGTTGAGCATCCCTAATCCAAAAAACTAAAGCAGAAACCCAGTGCTGAAGAAGTTTTCCATTTCAGAGTGATTTAGATTAAAATATTTTAAAGTAGTAGATGTTATTTAATAGTATTTTGAAATCTGTAACATTTTAGTTCTAAGCATTTCAGAGAAGGGGTACTCAACTAATACCTGAAAAGATGCTGAAGTAATCTGTAGTCCTTCTTGCATATTCTGCTGTAGTTGGTTCTGCATTGTGATCTTCTTTTCCTTGGTGATGGAGGCAATGGGAAAGCTCCTTACAACTGTCTGTTCACCAACTGCAGAAAAGATAGGGCATACACTCAGCAGCAGTACATTTTAGCTCAAGTCTGTAGGCTCTGATGAAAACATGCAGATGACAATGCCTACATATGCAGTAAAATGCCCTAGTTCTAGAATCTTACTCAATAATTTTACTGCATTTTACTCTTGAGATGTAGTTCTTTCCCAGAGTGAAAGAATTATCACAGTCTGCCTGCTTTTATTCCTTTTCAATTTACTGTTGTACAACACAAGATCACTTGGATTAAAATGATTTTACAGGAAGAGGTATAGGCTTTACATAGAAAAAAAGAGAAGTATCTGTAAATATTGATATCTAAGATATGTAAATATAAAACAAAAAGAGATTTTTGTAGACAGGCCTGATGGTGTATGCTTGTATTCATAGCTACTTTTTGGCAAAAATCAGGAAGATTGTGGGGGCAAGGCCAGTCTCAACTATAGGTAAATGAGATCCATCTTAAAAAGAACCAAATCCATGGAGATATATGCCTGAATTCTAGCCACATGAGAGGCATAAGTAGGAGGATTATGTCCAGGCTAGCTGAGGCAAAGCATAGGAGGCCCTATCTGAAAAGTAAAGAAAAAGGATCCCCAAGTAATAGACCAAGCTGACAGCCAGGAGTTAAAACTCCAGTACTACCCAAACAAAACAAATAGCCAGAGAGAGAGAGAGAGAGAGAGAGAGAGAGAGAGAGAGAGAGAGAGAGAGGGAGCAGAGAGAGCAGAGAGAGAGAGAGAGAGAGAGAGAGAGAGAGAGAGAGAGAGAGAGAGAGAGAGAGTGTGTGTGTGTGTGTGTGTGTGTGTCATGGGGCTTGAACTGTGGGCTTGGGCACTGTCCCTCAGCTCTTCAGCTCAAGGTGAGTACCACTTGAGCCATAGCACCACTTCTAGTTCTTTTGTGGTTTCTTGGAAATAAGAGTCTCACAGACTTTCCTGCCCAGGCTGGCTTTGAACTGCAATCCTCAGATCTCAGCCTCCTGAGTAACTAGGATTACAGGCATGAGCCACCGGTGCCCGGCTCTGTTTTTTTGTTTTTGTTTTTTTTAAAGAAAAAAACCTTGTTTCCATTCCTAGAGTTCATGCCAATATGTACACACACACACACACACACACACACACACACACACACACACACACACACACACACACACACACACACACACACACACACACACACACACACACACACACACACACACACACACATATATATGTTATTATAAAAGTGATATACAGAGTGGTTACAGTTACACAAGTCAGGTAAAGAATATGTTTCTTTTTGGACAATGTCACCTTTTCCCTTGTTTTCTCCCAGTTTTTCCCTCCCATCTCTACCCACAAGTTGTGTAGTTCACTTTCAACATAATGTCCAGAGAGTACCACTGCTGCACTTATTTACCCTTTGTTACTCCATTTCTGTGCCTCCTTTTACACTCCCAAAGATATATAAATGAACAAACAGGACAAAAAGAAAAACAGCAATGAAGAAGAAAAACCTAGTTTCCATTTCCTGAAGTTCATTTCAGTAAATATTATTTTGTATGATCAGATGCACATAGGCATTGTTCCATTGCGTTCCTCTTACTTCTTTGCTCTCACTGTGTGTGAATGCCTAGAAACATGTAGAATTTATCATGTCCCATGTATTTTAGATCTAGCTTTGAATATAAGAGAAAACATGTGCCATTTGTCTCTCTAAGTTTGGCTTACCTCATCACTTAACACGATCTGTTCTAGGTACATCCATTTCCCTGAAAGTGATGTAATATTCTAATGGATGTGTAAAATTCCACTGTAAATAGGTACCATAATATTTGGATCCACTTATCTATTGTATGGCATCTGGGCCATTTCTATAACTTAGCTATTGTGAATAGTGCAGTAATGAACATGGATGTGCAAGTGTCTTTATGGTATCCTGGCTGGTGCTGTGCTGCGTAGATACCCAGGAATGGTATGGCTGGGTGGTAGGGAAGATCTATGTTTAGTTTTTTGAGGAACCTCCAGACTGCTGTCCAGAGTGGTTGCACTAGTTTACATTCCCATCAACAGTGCAATTAGGTTCCTTTTTCCTCTCATCCCTGCCAACATTTATTGTTGTTCTACTTCATAATGTTGGCCAATCTAACTAGGGTGAGACAGAATCTCAAGAGTTGTTTTGGTTTGCATTTCCAGGGATGTTGAGCATTTCCTCATGTGTTTCTTTGCCACTCTTACATCTTCTTCTGAGAAGTCTCTCCTCAGTTCCTTTGCCCACTTAGTGATTGGTTTATTAGCCTTGTTTTGGATGTTAAGCCTTTGTTGGACTTACTGCTGGTAAAGATGTCCCAGTCAGTTGGCTGCCTTTCTAATTTAGTAATTATGTCCTTTGCTATGCAGAAACTTTTTTTTAATGTAATCTCATTTGTCAAGTCTCTCTCCTATCTACTGTGCCCCTGGGAGTCTTTTTCATAAAGTTTCTGCCTATGCCTATGAGTTCTAGTGTTTCTTGTACTCCTTGCAGTAATTTCAAAATTTCAGGTTTGATGTTGAAATCTTTGATCTACTTCAAAGTGCATAATGACAAACAGAATTCACTTTTAGTTTTCTGCATATAGATACCTATTTTTTCCAATATAAATTATTGAAGACTGCCTCAGGTTTTTGTTTTATTTTTTTCTTTGGGTCCGGTCGTGGGGCCTGTACTCTGGGCCTGGGCGCTGTCCCTCAGCTCTTCAGCTGGAGGCTAGCGCTCTACCACTTGAGCCACAGCGCCACTTCCAGCTTTTTTTCCCCTGCTTATGTGGTGCTGAGGAATCGAACCCAGGGCCTCAAGTATGCAAGGCAAGCGCTCTACCACTGAGCCACCTTCCTAGCCCATGCCTGAGGTTTTTAAATGCTGAGATTTCAGGCATGCCCCACTTGCCTGACAAGAGAATCAATTTTTTTTTTTTTTGTGCTGGTCCTGGAACTTGACCTCAGGTCCTAGGTGCTGTCCCTGAGCTTTTGTGTTCAAGGCTAGTGCTATACCATTTTAGCCACTGCTCCATTTCTGGCTCTCTGGTTGTTAATTGGAGGGTATAAGTCTTATGGACTTCCTGCCCCAGCTGGCTTCAAACACTGATCCTTAGATCTCAGCCTCTTGAGTAGCTAGGGTTATAGGCATGAGCCTCTGTAAGCTATCTGTGCCCCCAGCTTGACAAAAGAGTTTTAAAGTTTGTTTCTCTATGTGTTAAAAAGTATACTATGTCTCTTCCAACATGCCTTTGGAGAACAGGGCTAGATTTAGGCCCAAGATTTTTGGGAGTTTAAATTTTAATGTAAAAATGGGAAAATATCAACTACCTATAGCTATAAAAATGAGGGTCTAGAAAATAAGTACACACAAATCCTCCCTCCAGTTTTCTGCTAAAAGAGTCATATATAGAATGAAATCGATGATTAAAAGATTTAATAGTCCAGAAAAGGAGATGATTTCTACATGTTAGATGGTTAGAGAATAATGGAAGAAGTAGGACGGGAGTGAGCTTTGAAAAGAGAATAGGAGGCTGAGATCTGAGGATCGCGGTTCAAAGCCAGCCCGGGCAGGAGAGACTGCGAGACTCCTATCTCCAATAAATCACCAGAAAACCGGAAGTGGCGCTGTAGCTCAAGTGGTAGAGTGCTTGCCTTGAGCTGAAGAGCTGAGGGACAGCGCCCAGGCCCAGAGTTCAAGCCCCACGACCAACAACAAAAAAAAAAAAAAAGAAAAAGAAAAGAGAATAGGGTTTGGATTTGGAAAGGTTTTATGCATTAGAAAATTAACAGAAGCAGCAATGAGTAAGACCTCACAGTCAGTAAGCTAGAATACTTAAACCAGCTTTATCTGAGTTAAACATATGTACATTTACCCACTTATTACCCACTTCATTCTCTGGATCTATCAATCTCTAAGTAACCTGATTATTAAGTTAATACCCAGCAGCTAGCAAAGTCAGGATATGCAAAAAGATTTTAATGCTAGGATGTGTTAAACAACCTATGCTTATATAACACATGTAAAACTATCAGATTACTAGGTATTATTAAAGGTGAAATATTAAATTAGAAATTAAAAAGATTTTCTATGATAAGCTTTTTTTCTAAAACATGAAGTAAAGAAAGGAAAAAACAAGATGAGATTTAATACTAACTCTTCCTTTGTTTTCTTTAACAGAAACTAAAATGATGACATCATTGTATAGTATTTATATTTATTACCAATTCTACTAAAAGAAAATGGTAAGTACAGATTGAACACCCCAAAAGTCCAAACTCTGAACTAGTGCTCAGAAAGTTTCTGATTTTGGAGTATTTTGAAACTCACATTTTTGGATTATGGATGTGTAACCTGTAAAGTCCATGTAAATCTTCCAAAATGGGATAAAAAAGTAAAAATATGAAATACTTCAGGTCCAAAGCATTTTGGCAAAAGACACTGTATATTTAGTTTCTTTTTTCCAGTCCTGGGCTTGAACTCAGGGCCTGAGCACTGTCCCTGAGCCTCTTTTGCTCAAGGTTAGCACTCTACCACTTGAGCCATAGTGCCACTTTCAGCTTTTTCTGTTTATGTGGTGCTGAGGAATTGAACCCAGGGCTTTATGCATGCAAGGCAAGCAGTCTACCACTAAGCCACATTCCCAGCCCTAGTTTAACAAGTATACCTGCTTTAAATACAAATATAATTTTTGTATAACAATACAATGAAGACTATAAAATTTTGTTCCTTTTAAAAATAAGCACCATTTTTTCCTGTGCATTCATTTCTATTTTATAAGCTTTTAAATTATTTCATGGTGAGCAATCTTATGACCAATATACCAAAATTGGATTTTATCTAATTTAGGAATAAAAAAATTGTTACGATTTATGCTGGGCAGTGGTGGCTCACCTGTAATCTTAGCTACTCAGAAGTCTGAGATCTAAAGATTGAAGTTCAAAGCCAACTTGGGCAGGAAAGTCCGTGAGACTCTAATCTCTAATTAGGCACCAGAAA